CCTCATTTTACATTCTAAATGATTCAAATCTTTCATCAAATTTTCAACAACCATTTTTTCACTTAAATTTGGTGAAATTGTTAAAAGATGAAGGATTGGAGATCATATTTTTTTCACCTGAATTAGTTGAAGTACGTGTGTGGGATAGATTAGGTATTTTTAAAAAGATTTGGTGAAAATTTTGATTCTTACCATTCGTGTGAGCCTATGTTACATTGACTTGCCGGTTTAGGGTAGAGTACCCGTGTCGACATGGCACAACACGGGTGCGGGTGTAAGATATGTGTCGGATTTGGCATGGTTTTTTCGGACACGGCTGACATGAGAGGAGAAAAAAGAAGGGTTGTTGAGAGAGAGAGAGAGAGGGAGGGGGGGGGGGGGGGGGGGAGAGAGAGAGAGAGAGGGAAAAGAAAAGAACAAAACAAAAAACAAATTGAATAGTCACAAATCAATTAGGGATTGTGGGATTATCAAAAATGAAGATCTCAAGTATTTTTCTTTTTTAAATTTGTCTGTACAAGATGGATAAGAAAAATATAAGATTTTGACATAATTTTTTTAAAAAAAATATAAAAGACAAAAAAAAAATGTTAGTTTTTAAGTGTATGCCAAACATAAATTGCTTTTTTATTAATAAATTTAAAACAATAATACATTGTGAAAGATAAGAATTGTATAATTGTTCAAGGGAGAATCACTCTACAGTAGAGAATAGAAGAAAGAAAATAATTTTTATTTATTATTTATATTTTATTTGTTATTTTTTTAACAAAATTTGTTATTCCTTAATTTTTTTTAAACTCATCTTCATATAATAAATATATTTGAAAAAATAACTATATAACGTATTCCCTGTACCCGTATCCAAATTTGGATCCATATCCACGTATTCCCAATTTTTAATTTTGAAGTGTCCGACCCTTAGATATGCACCCGCACCCGATACCCGCACCCGAATCCGTGTAACACAGGTGTGAGCTACATGAAATCAATCTTTTGATCTAACTTGTTGAACAAATTTGATGAAAAAAAGTGTAGGGTTGGAGATGTTCATAGTGGTGCTGTACTGATGTCTCCTTCTGCTAAGATTCAATTAATATGACACTGTTACCTATCATCCTGCTTGGATATTAAGATTCACATCCATTCTTTTGTCATGTTATTTTCAGTTAACATCAGTGCAGAAAACCCTAGTTCACCATATCTGATCATAGGGTAGCCTTATTAATTTTCTTTCTTAATGTCCGCCTTTCGTTATCAAATCATGAATGGGTTCCTTACTCTGTTGACTCTATTGATCTGCTGAATTGGTGGCTATGATTTCATTACATGCAGTGCATACATGCAAGAGTTCACCCGCACATTTATTCATGGATAACATATGCATTTATAGGTAGCAAATATCATTTACACATAAATGGATTAAATGCTTGGATTTTTTTTGAATGTCAGCAAAGAGACTAACATTAAAATAAAAGGAGATACAAGAGAGAAAAAGGACAAGGAGTCCTCCAAAGAGGAAAAAAATAAAAAATAAATAAAAAAGTCTCAAGCAACATCTCACAAGCAGCCCTTCAATTCGAAGAGATCAAAAAGGATGGTATTCCCTTGCAGGAGAGGAGACCAAAGCCCAAAAACAAGGCAAGAAACAAACTTTAACCCAAAAGGCGTTGACATTTTCCATATAACATAAAAAAATCCTTGCATTCCACTCCATTCAAATAACCCAAAAGATTGGGAAAAGAAAGCATTGTCACAACGCCCTTGACTTCTATTACCACCAAAGCCTTGAAAGTCAATCAAAAGCAGATGGGAACATGTATTTAGGGCCACTCAACAAATTTTCGTCATCATGAATAACCTATTCCATTAAATCGAAGCCAATGAGCAACAAGTACAAGTTATCCAAAGATTCCACCTAGGTCTTGCATATGATGCATCATTGAGGCTAAAGACAACAATTATGTGTCCTTATTTGAAAAGTGTCATCTTTCATGAGACTATTATGAGACAATGTCCTTATAAATATCTTGACTTTAATAGGCACAATTGCTTTCCTGATAATTTGTGATGAAAAAAGAGGGACACTAGTATTGTCAATGATAATGACAAAAAATGATTTGAATGAGAATAACCCTGAAGAGTGAACTGATCACACCCTCATGTTTAGGGCTGCAAAACAAACTAAGCTACCCGAGCTTGACTTGTGTTCGTCTTATTAAATACTTGTTTGAGATCGACTTGTTATGTAGGCAAACCAAGCTTGAAGACATTTTAAAGCTCGTTTTGTTTTCAAGTCAAACTTGAACAACATATGACTCGGCTTGATAACCATATATGCACTATAAAAAACTGAGGTACACGATTTGTGTTCGGCTCACTTGTTCGAGATTGGCTCGTTAGGCAAACAAGCAAAGCTCGAACACGTTTTGAAGATCTTAAATTTTCAGGCCAATCTTGAATAACGTACTACTTGGTTCGACTTGGCTTGTTTGCACGAGTCATGTCACAAGCATTAGGATTCAAGGAAAAACTATCAACAAAAGCCAGCAAAGCAACCAAATCCCTTGCCTCACGATCATTGAGATTACTAAAAAAATTAAAATTCCAAGAAATTGGAGCCAAACTAGAGCAAGCCTAGAAGCAATAGAAACATTAGGAGAAGGCCAAACACAACAAGCATAGGAGCAGAGTTTTAAAAGTGGAGTCACCACCCAAACATGTTTTCAAAACCTTATATGTTCACCTTTACCCTACTTCAAAGCTACGAAGGGAGAAAAAATAGGGAGAAGACGAGATGGATTTTCAAGGATAGCGGTTGTTACCCCGACCACAATAGAATTCCAACCATTAATTTGAACCCTTATTTACTTTAATAGTAGAATACCATAATAAATCACACTCACGAGGGTATCTTCATAACCATTTGCCAAAAATGGCAACGTTCTTCGCAACAATGTTTCCTACTGCCAATTTCCCTTTAAATTTAGGCCTTGTTTGTCATAACCTAAAAAAATCAAAAAGTCACTATCCTATTTAAGTCATATCATTTTATTTAAGTCACATCATCTCTCTACCCCATACTTTATAAAAAGTCAAAAAGTGCACTTATTTAAATCATCCCAAACCACCCCTTAGGAAGAGAAACAATCTCCCAACTCGCTAGATCCCCCTTGGATTTTCCAAACCCCCCCAAATCCCCTTCTCTTCCCCTTTTGTAATAAGTACATTGGCATTGATGTATCAATGAGAAACCAATGATTTGGAAATTTCTTGTCTTTGATCTCACTATGATTGGTAAATATTGAACTAATAGTGCAACTATTTGCCTTTTTTGTGTGATGCTATCGTGAAAGATTATGCAATCATCTGTCATTTATGAAACAATGTTGTTTCCTTTGGTTCGGGATGAATTAATTTAGAAAGGTGCCATAGTTTATCACTCTTTTTGGTTATGAATACATTTGACCCTATTGTCTTGTCCTCTTGAATTACCATGAAAAATGAAAAAAAAAAAATATATTTCTATGAACACATGCATATGTTCCTCATTATGGATTGACAATTGTAAAGGAGCCAGTAAGATGCATGTTTCAACCAGTGTTGCAATATGACTTGGCCTGGCAGATTGATGATCCTGCTTTAATTAATTTATCATTTGTCTTTATTATTGAAATCAGGTTTCAGACTTAATCAAGCACGCTTAAGCGAAGTGTTTGGCTGAGATTGGTGAAAGTAATTGCATTTGGTTGAGCTTTAACTAGTTTTCATTTTGTTTTTGACCTCAACTTGAGGGATGCATGGCTGCATGAGCTTGTGTATTTATAAATGTCTTATTTATTGTCTACATAATATGTAGGTTTGTCTACATGTGTAAATTTAAGCATATAGGTATTGTTGCACTGTTTTTGGAATGTGAGAGGAGCGAGGTAACTAAACATACTATTTTTGGTAAATAGCTTTTCAAGCAGATGGCATTTGTAGGATTGTTATAATACATTTTTGTGGCATCACTGGAATGACGCCCCTAAAAGAAGGATATTGCATGATTGCACATAATTTGTATAAATGGCTGTCATTACCTAGACACCTGCATGCAAATAGCTATGTACAATTAGGAACAGTAATAAATAGGCAGTCAAATGACTTTCTAGTACACATGTATGCAAGTAAAAATATGAAATATCAATGAAAAATGTATTTTGGTTTTATAGGGTATGATGGAGACCTGGTGTTTGTTTTACCAAGTCACAAGAAAACCTTATGCAGGTTTCCTGGGGTACTTGTAAGTTTGAAAGGAGTTTGGTTCATTTGCAATATATTCCTATCTAATATGGTTCAACTTTACAATAGTGTAAACTCAACTACTTTGGCTGTCTACTTATTTATTTATTTTTTCCGTTCATAGTTGTTTTCAGACAGTAAGAAGACGTCAAAATTGGTTGAGTTTAACCGTTTATTTAGGAAACATTGGATTCACTCTGCTATGAATGTACGGTTGGAGCCTTGCTCTGACTTAGCTTGACTTGTTGACAGGGTGAAATTAAGGTCGAGGGAACAGAAGAGGGGTGAATGGAACAATTTAACATGGTCAGAGTACTGTAGCAAGTTAACATTGTATTCAAGTGCTTTATGCCAGACAATTTGGACAGATTTATTTGACTGCTTGAGATAACATTATTCAAGTGATTTATAATGAAGTTTGGTTTATTTGAGATTTATTGTGGTTTTCAACCCCTTACTCCTCAGCCCTAAAAGAAAAAAAAGGGGGAAAAAAAAAGAAGATGAAAAATTATGGTTGTTTTTCTTAAAAAAGAAGAGAGAAGGTAGTATAGTAGGTTTAGAGGTTTGGATCTCTCTCTTTCTCTCATCTAACCCAATCTTTATCTTGGCAATAATGGATATCATTGTATGCTAGTCACTTGTATCATTTCTTATATCATAATTTCTAGCTAATGAATGTTATTAGTTCTTTCATAAATTGTTTTGTGAATGTGCAGGTTGATATAAACATTCACCAATTTTTCAAAGGGTATTCAGAAGGCCGATTCCACAAAAATAAGTGGCTTGAGATGCTCAAATTGAAAGATTGGCCCCCATCTACTTTCTTTGAAGAGCGCTTACCACGCCATGGTGCAGAGTTTATCAGTGCCTTGCCATATTTAGAATACACACATCCTCGATCTGGTCTTCTTAATGTTGCTGCAAAGTTGCCTAACAAAATGCTGAAGCCAGACCTGGGTCCTAAAACATACATAGCATATGGGTTTGCTGAAGAGCTTGGACGTGGAGATTCCGTGACAAAACTTCATTGTGACATGTCAGATGCGGTATGAATTGTTTAAATAGATTATGGATAGCTTACTTCACATTATTTGTTTTTATTGTTGATCAAGTAATAGCAGACTCACTTAATTTAGCCCATGGATTTATCAACATGTGATTTTTGAGCAGCACTGCCTACGTATATGTTAGTGTGTGTATATTTATGTATTTATTAGTTTATTCTAGGACAGGATCCCCCTATTTTAATTTGGTCTCAATTTCAGCATCTATCCCCCGTTAACTACAACTAACAGAAAATTGTTTGGCAGCACACATGACAGTTTTTGATTCCGTGACAAAACTTCATTGTGACATGTCAGATGCGGTATGAATTGTTTAAATAGATTATGGATAGCTTACTTCACATTATTTGTTTTTATTGTTGATCAAGTAATAGCAGACTCACTTAATTTAGCCCATGGATTTATCAACATGTGATTTTTGAGCAGCACTGCCTACGTATATGTTAGTGTGTGTATATTCATGTATTTATTAGTTTATTCTAGGACAGGATCCCCTTATTTTAATTTGGTCTCAATTTCAGCATCTATCCCCCGTGAACTACAACTAACAGAAAATTGTTTGGCAGCACACGTGACAGTTTTTGATTGGTTCTTTCAACTTAATGGTAATCATAATTTTGAAATTGATTACACCAAATCATCATCACCATTTATCAATTATTTACTCGATCACAACCATTCATCATCACTAATACTTTGAGGTTCATCACATAAAAACACGCCTCTTCCAGATCCAAATCTCCTTTGTTCTTTCATCACCATCTCAACACACCTTCTTGTTACTCGTTCCCCTCCCTTCCCTTCCACCACCCCTTCTTTTTCCCTTTCCTTATTTCTGCTACCCATCCTCCCCCTCCACCATCCCTGTTAGATAAATTTATGCATTTCTGGTAAGCCACTTAAGAAATGAAATCGGCAGGTATGCTGTAGATACAATGCAATCAGTTTGCTTCAAGGAATCTGGAGTGAATGCATCAGGGCTTTTGGAAGAACAAACAACTCCCGCCTTATATTATATTTGGGGGCTATCTTCAATCAATGGTAATGGGCGGTCCAATTTTCAGGGCTTACACAACTAAATGGGTCTCTCTCTCTCTCTCTCTCACACACACACACACACACCATTTTTTGTGAGTTTAGGGGTGATGGGATGGTGAGGGAAGGGGGCTGGGGTGGTGGGGGTTGTGCAGGGTTTTGGGATGGTGGGGGAAGGGACTGGACTGGATAGTGGTGGAATAGGACTTGGGTGGCTGGATATGGGGCTGTAGAGGGGTTTGAAGTGGTGGAGAAGGGGTTTTGGGTGGTGGGGTGGTTGTGTGAAGACTAGGATTGCTGAATGATGATGGGGAGGAAGGGGGGGCAGGGGCAGGGACAGGAACAACAATGGAGGTGGTGTTGCTGATGGATGAGAGGGTGGTTATTGAGAGTGTATACATAGTACACAATATATGTTGAAGAAGAGTAGTATTTTGTCAAAAATACCCCCTCTTCATCTGGTATTTAACAGTAATAGACGGATGGTTGGGATTGAGACTGTTAGAATTTCCCATCTTTACCTTCACCTACTCCACTACACACTCCACTTCACCTACCTCCACTTCACCACACACTCCACTTCACCTAACCCACTATCACCTCCACTACACCTACTACCACATTTTCTTCTATATATAGATTGTATAGGAATTGTAATTAAAACAATCTTGTAATTAGATATCAATCAATAATAAGATCTGTATTTTTCTCTTTATACATTGATTTTTAACAGAGACTAATTTAAAAGATAGGATTTAAATTGATGAAATTAAAAATTTGTGGTTTGATATGTTACAAGGGTTAAACCCTAGGTTTATTTTTTATAATTTCCCCATTTTTTTGGGCCTTGGTGATTTCTAACTAATAGAACCAGCCTGTGAAGATGTCCAAAGCAATTAAAAATTCAATAATTTGGGTAGATTGTAGTGTCATGTTATTTGAATTCTTTTGATTAATGTATGTAATTTATCTTCTGAAGGACTAAGGTTACGATGGTAATTTTTCAAATTGAATTTAAGCATTGTTTAATGTTTTGAAAACTTTCAGTTTGGTTCCACCGTTCCAGTAAATGTCTTGATTCAAGATTGGGTATTTGATCTGGTATGGATTAGTTAACTGGCAATTAGAACAATCCCATAAAAAGGGGATGGCGAAAAATGTTTAAATGGTTCTTGTACCTTGATTAGAAATCAGTGATATGATACAGAGGCGTGGTAATAAAGCAAAGCATTTATGGTGATATGCGAAGAAAAATTAGTAATTATGCTTAAATATGTTCACACACTGAATAGCAACACTGAAGCAAAAAAGAACTTTTGAAGACATACAAAAAATGAAGAGTTACTAACAGGACCTTTACCACAAAAAAAAGAAAAAAAAAACCCTAATCTGTTTGTATCTACAATGGCAGCAAAGAATGTATAAAAGGAAGAAATGGAAGAAAGAATAGAACCCACAAAAAAAACCAAGACACTTGCCGTAAACAGAAAACTTGAACAAAGTAGATAACTATCTTCCTTGGTTCTTTGTTGTATTGTACATATGACGATGTTCTAGTAGTTTGCCAACAGTGGTTGGTTGCCGGAGATTGTTTTTAGTAATATGTCATATTTTAGTATTTGATCTTCTTTGTTCTAAGGTTCATCATTATAGGGGAATGACTCCTTTCCATACTACTATCCTCCAGACTCCTCCACATTTCATTTTGTGGGTCTCACTCTAGGCCCACAATGATTATCCAAATCATTCATCTCGTAAACCTTAAAGTGAAGATCATCTGTGCAAAAAATCAGCTTCATCAGGTATCAATGAATAGATGAACAAATCTCATTTTGTTTTATAAAATGGACAGTTTAAGTTTAAACTTGTAGTTGTCATCCATTTAAAAAAAACAAAATGTAATTTGTTCATGTGTCTAGTGATGTTCGATGAACCTAATTTTTTGCTCAACTCATCTTTACTGCTGGGCCTACAAGATGAATGGTTTGGATCATCAATGTGGGCTTGGGATGGGTCCCACGAAATAGATTATGGAAGTGTATAGAAGATAGTGGTATGGAGGGGAGTCATTCCCTCATTCTTGTCAATGACACAATGGTATTCTGTGAATCGGTGATTGGATGTTCTGTTAATTTAGTCTCAACATTGATCTGTTGATTTCCTTGATTAGCCTTATTCTGAGAAATCACTGTCCATGGTTTTTGAGTACTTAATAATTATGAAGTGGGAGTTGGCATGAGTATGAGTGCATCTGTTGGATCTGACATTGGTGAGGCTTGTAGGAATACTAATGAATGGATCTTTATGGATAATGAATGGATCTGCAGTCATACTTTTTCATATATACATTGTTTTTAATCATTTATTGCATTTACACTTTTTCAGGTGAATGTGTTGACTCACACTGCAGAGGTGAAGCATACTTCTGAACAGCTTTCTATACTAAAAGGACTGAAAAAGGAGCATGATACTGCTGACCAAAAAGAACTCTTTGGTACAATTGGTACAGAGATTCAAGGTTATGTGAAGCATGTGCCAGAATCCAATGGAAAGTTGATGTTAGAGACAGCTGAGACTAGGTCATGTGATGAAGATCGTGCTGTTATTAAAGCTGAAGAAATGAGAGAAGAAGATGCTGATTCTTCACGCATAAAAAATGAAAATATTGAAGTGCAAGATCTTATAGTTGATGGAATAAATGAAGCTTCCAGTTTGCCATCAGAACAGATAACCAATGCTGATGTGTTGGAGGAAACCAGAAAGGGAATACAGGTGTCAAGACGTGGTCGTGGTAAAAAAAGGAAGGGTGGGAAATTGCGTAAGGGATTGGACATTAAGTCAGAAAATTTGTTGACTGAGGTTGTTGATGCTGCCAATTCTCAGGAAGAAGGGGGAACTAGGAATGAGGAAGATGACATGCATTGCTCAACAAATGAAGAGAGTCTGCAAGATGAGTCTGTTTCTGAGAACAAGTTGAATGGATTGGAGACAATGAAGGGAGGTGCTATTTGGGACATTTTCCGGCGACAAGATGTTCCCAAGCTACAGGAATATCTTAGAAAGCACCATAAGGAATTTAGGCACATCAATTGCCATCCTGTAGAGCAGGTAATACAACTTCCAATTTGATGCCTCTTTTGTTCTTCAACAAAAGTTATTTTTATATGAAAGATGCACACACTTTGTTTCAACTAATTGCTTACTTCTCTATGATCCAAGTTTGGTAACTGTAAACTACAAACCTCTCTCTCTGTCCCTCTGAAAAAGAACCAAGTATAGAATCTAGTTTGACCGGTGACATTCTAACAAATTAATTGGTAGTTTGAACTTCCAATGATGTTGATTACAACTCATTATACTTTTTATGATAATTGATATATTTATTTTACAGGTTGTTCATCCTATTCATGACCAGACATTCTACTTGACTTTACATCACAAAAAGAAACTCAAAGAGGAGTTTGGTTAGTTGTTATTTACTTAAGTTTGGTTGGTCTATATTATTTTTGTACTTTTTTGTTTTACTTTTGCCTAATAACATTTGTTGGTGCTTAATGAAGGAGTTGAACCATGGACATTTGTGCAAGAACTTGGAGAGGCAGTCATTATACCCGCTGGATGTCCTCATCAAGTTAGAAACCTTAAGGTACATAGGCACCAAGATGATACTTTTTGAAACTGTCCTATAGACTTTTATTTTATATGTAATAGTTATTGTATAATATCATCAATAGATTCAATACTGACTCGCTAGTTTCATTTTTTTACTTCAATAGATTGACTCCTTTTTTATTTTTATTTTTAACCACAAAGTCCTTTAAGCAAATAATATATCAACTAGGCTGCTCTTTTATGCAGTGATTTCAACCTACAAGCCTCTTGCAGCATCTTTTTTTATTCCCTCTGCTTTCTTTTCCCTTAAATAGGCCAGAATCTCTATACACGAAAATGAGTCTTACTAACACATGGAAAACTTGTAACTTGTCAGCTTGTTGCTCCGACCTGTTCTTGGGATTTCCCATGCTTCCTCTTAGCATGCAAATATCTTGATCTCTGTGACAAATTTCCCTTTTTGTCTAGGCTGTACTAGAAATATCTTACCCACATGATGAAGTTCCCTTGTAGCATGTGGAAGTTTTCTTGAGTAATGTAGTACATGTGGATTTAAGATTGGGTTTTATTAGGATTAGTTAATATATTTTATTTTGGAATATTACGCATATATAAATGGTGGAACTGACCTGTATGTCTTCTCAGATTGTCATTTGGTTTTCATGATCTTTCTTATATATTCTTCTAATTTATTTATTTTGGGTTTCATATTATTTCCAGTCATGCATAAAAGTTGCTCTTGACTTCGTTTCACCTGAAAACATCCCTGAATGCATCCATTTGACTGAGGAATTTCGTCATCTTCCCCCAAATCATAGGGCTAAGGAAGACAAACTAGAGGTATATTTCATTATTTCCTGTATTACATTGTATTTGCTGAATGTTTTGTTGTTTTTCTTTATTGTTGTTATCATTATTTTATTAATGGAGAAAATTTGTACTCAGATTTTTACTAGTTGAGAACTACAGATTATTCAAAATAAGGAGCCCAAGACTGAAACTAAAAGGTTGAAGAAAAAATAAAAGAACTCGGACTTTGATATTGGTTACATTCTACTAGGGATGGCAACTAGTTTGGTTTTTTCCTCGTTATTAAAAAAAGTAGTCAAGTTTTTTGTGAGGGCCCCTGTTCTCCTCCCCTGCTTTGGGTTGGATTTTTTCCCCACCCTCGACTCCACCTCGCAGGTAGCTGAACCCGTTCTTCTGACCTTCCGTCGAAATTTTTATAAATAAATTAAAAATCAATCTTGATAACGTAAAAACATTATAAATCAAAATTTAACATTACAAACCAAGGTGTGGCATATATATTTTTAAACTTGTACAAGTAAAAAATAAATTGTTTTTAATATACCCGGGTTGGGTGAGCCAATACTTCCCCCGCCCTGTACGTGAGAAAAATAACCTGTCCTGCCCCCAAATGCTCTTTAGGTCAGGGAAAAACCACAGATTTCAGGACAGGACGAGCCAAAATGGAATCCTTGCATTCTACCATGATGCTGGTATTCCTTGAAAAGAACTATGGTTTCTCTTAATTTGGATATTTCAGAGTGCATCCAAAATGTGTTTTTTAAATCGAGCGCTTCTCAGTTTACATCAATGTCAATTCCATCCTATTCCGGTCAAGATGTACTGTACGAGATCAAGAATGGGAAATACTACATGCAGTTTCTTTTTGCTGAATATCTTGGCTCATACTGGACTGTTCCTTATGTACTGGATAATTTTCGGTGTACAGTCCGGTACACCAAAAATATAACTTTTCCTGGCAAATGCCCACTGATGACTTTAACAATTATCCAAAGTTTCCCAATTCCCAAACATGTTTCCCGACGAAAAACTTTCAGTTCGACCCTGAAGTCCAACTGTGTAAACAAACCATCCAAGATATTTGAGCAAAGAGAAGAGATTGTCAAAAAAAAACTAACCCAACATCATTTGATTGACAGATTTGAGAGAGAGAGAAGATATTAGAGGGGGTGAGAGGGATACTGGGTGTTTGACAGAGAGCTTAGCACGTGTAAGAGATGAACACGTGTAATACTATCTTTTTTGGTTTGGTTTAGTTTAGTTTAGTAATGCTATGACTTGTCACTTCGATATTATTATAACTTCAGCTATACTACATGTAATATTATCGTATCACCTTTTTATTTTATTAATGCTTTCACTTCTCATGTTTAAGTAGGTTTTTTTCTCTACCATTTTATGTTATTTCTTTTAGAAAATATACCTGTGTTGGACAACATGTGTATGTCGTGCCTAAATGGTTTGGTGTTGAACCTTGAATGCCACGCTACATATATTAAATTTTCTAGGTAATTATAATTATTTTCGATAAATATATTAAATATATAGCAATAAATTTGAAATGGAGTGCGGTATGCATGGGTACCTGTACATACTGTGCCAATGAAAAAATGGTACACTGGCCTGTATGGGATTTTGATTACTTTGGTTTCCATGCTTTTGATGAAGTAATGAAAAGTAGCTTTCAGTAGTAGTTTCTGGTAAGAAACCTGTATTTGGCATTGATGATATGTTGAGTATGGTAACTGCGGTCCACTAGGTCTTTGTGCATCACCATCCTAAGTTCTCGATCTCACCCAATATCTTGATATCTTCCAAATATGGCATGTTTTGGTTCGTAAAGTGCTTTTGCTGCATGTATGGTTGATAATTTTGTCCTTGATTTTCACTCTGGATGAAATAGGTAAAGAAGATGTCTCTTCATGCTCTAAACCAAGCGGTGGCTAAACTGGAGAAGCTCACACGGTGAGTATAAGTTTACATGAACTCAATTTCTTGTTTCCTATTTTCTTGTTTGTTGCATACTGCTATTTTCTTGTTTCTAAAGCTGCCAGATCCTGTCTTGAATTTGTTTCTAATTCAAGCTCTGCAACTTGATAGAGTTGGAGAAGGTAAGAAACCTGTATTTGGCATTGATGATATGTTGAGTATGGTAACTGCGGTCCACTAGGTCTTTGTGCATCACCATCCTAAATTCTCGATCTCAGCCAATATCTTGATATCTTCCAAATATGGCATGTTTTGGTTCATAAAGTGCTTTTGCTGCATGTATGGTTGATAATTTTGTCCTTGATTTTCACTCTGGATGAAATAGGTAAAGAAGATGTCTCTTCATGCTCTAAACCAAGCGGTGGCTAAACTAGAGAAGCTCACACGGTGAGTATAAGTTTACATGAACTCAATTTCTTGTTTCCTATTTTCTTGTTTGTTGCATGCTGCTATTTTCTTGTTTCTAAAGCTGCCATATCCTCTCTTGAATTTGTTTCTAATTCAAGCTCTGCAACGTGATAGAGTTGGAGAAGGATTTGGAAATTGTTTAAGAATCATTTGTTGTGGAATTATATACTTCTAATATTCTTCTTTCCTTGGACAAACAAAAAAATAAAGGGAAAAAAATGGAAGACATTTTCTCAATGTAAATTTTTTTTTTTTTTTTTTTTAATTCCTGTGCAGTTTACATGGTACTATTCATGTTGCTAAATGCTCTTTCTAGCACTTTTTAAGTGTAAACTGGATTTCAGTCTCTGAGTTAGACTGCCATATGCTGCAACCTCTTGGAACTTGCATATGCAAAATTTGACAAGCATGTTTTATGTTCCCTCTGAGGTTGTTTTCATGGGGGGGATTTTTATTGTGATTGTTTCTGAACATTTCTAATACATTTTTTTTGCACTAAACTCCTTGCTACTTCCTTAGGCACCATAGAGAGAATGCTTTTGAAGTAGGACATTCCCAGAACTTTATAAATCTCAACCTAAGAAGTACATATGATTCTAAGGTGGCATGTCTGTGTTGGACATCAACAAGTGCACGGACACTTACTGACACTTATTTGACACTTCCGACATGCCACCATCTGTCAGACACACTTCCAAACATGTTCCATTATTTTTATACTACGACACTCTTTGGACATTTGGAGGGCATACAATTCCATCATTTAAAAGACGCATGCAATGCATTATAAATTTGAACAACATAACTTGGGATCTAATGATAAATGAAAAATAATGTCGATTTACACCTACTAAAAGTCAATACTTTTTTAGACTTTAAAATTCATATTATGTTTTATATTTTTATTAACATTAAATGAAATATCCACATATAAAATTACTTATTTTGCGCCACCAGGGACGCCAAGCCTTACTGTTAGGTCAAACTGCCTGATAGGCGAGGCTAGTGCTAGTGGGTAGTCACACATATCTGAGGTTTTACCCTGGTCTCACTGAAGGTGTGATTATGGAGTTCCTTGCTATCAAAAAAAGAGCTGCCTTTAATTAATTGCCTTATAAGTGTGTTAATTGATTTGTATCTTCCAGGTGCATGACAGTGAACACTGAGGCATCACCATTGGAAACTACAGTACCATGCCCAGACTCATGTCAACTGTTAGACGATCTCCCTCCATCTTCCCCAGCATCAACTCCATCTCCCACCTGATTTGATGGTATACGTTGAGTATGATCCAAGTCCATGTCAGAGATAAAAGTCGGATACAATTGGGAAAATCTGTTACTTTTGTTGAACGCTATGTATTGATCCTGCTTTATTGTTAACCATTTTAACTTCTGTTGTCTAGTAAGCCAGGGTTTTGTGCAGTCCCGCCTGGTGGTTGTTTCTGGGAGACCCCTTGTAAAATTAAGCATATAGAAAAGTGTTCTCTCGTCCTAAATATTGACATTGTGACCTTACATAGCTTTCTTGAAAAAGAAGAAAATATATTATTAAGTCTGGCAGGATTGATCCTTCCAGTTGATTTGTGTTTTTGTTTTAATTTGTGTTTTGCATGTGAAATATGGCTTTGCTATTAATTTCTTTTGCTAAGGCTAATAAAACCTTGGATTCATCCTAAAAACTGTGATTCCTCGTAAACCCTCAAGCCTAGGGATTCCTCAAGTAGAAACCATTAGATCATTGCTGTGTTTGGCAATGAGTAATTTGTGGCTTGTAGAATCTTGGAATCTGGTACATTCTTGCCTAGCTTGTAATCGGTTTGTTTGGGAAATTAGGAAATAAAAGAAAATATTATGTAGGAGAGAAAAGAAAGGAGAAGAGATAGGGTAGTGGTATTCTGCTTATTTGGATAATTTGGGACAGAAAATTAAAAGAAGTGAGAAAAAGTGCACATAGGAGGTGAAGTAAATGTAGTGATATACATAGTATTTTTCAAACAGGTGAAGATTGAAAGAGGTATTCTCTTTTATTTTCTGGATAAAATCATGTAATTTAAACAGTGTAGATTCTAAGCTAAACTCTTTATTTTATTTTATGTTTTTATTTTTTATTTTTTATTTTTAAGGGCAGCTATTATTGAAAGAAAAAAAGAAAACAAGGATGCAAGAATGTAAGATGGTAATAGTTGAACATACGAGCAAACTTTTTCTACACCAAAAAAATGAAGTTTTGGTCAGTGTATTTTGGCGACACATTTGCATCACTTTCAAATTTTTTCTTTTTGGTCCCAATTTACTTTCAATTATTAAATTTAATATATGAAAATTTTGATACATGATTCAATAGTTAAAAGTGTATAAAAATGTATTGGACTAAGAGATTTAATGTGTTGGGCCGAGAGATTTAGACAGGTTTTTGTGCCCACATAACACAAGGCTGGTAAGGAAAAAAATTAATAATTAACCAATAATTTGGAAAACAAAAAGGGATAGCAATTGTGGAGTGAGTTAAATCTTAAATTCCTGATAAGGGACAAGTCCACTTTCACTTTATTTTTTTATTTTAATGATCAAGTGTTTGGACTAATTTATGAACACCTTGACTAATCTCGGGACTCACGCAAAGTATCACCTCCACATGGATCAGACAAATTTAGAATAGAGCCTGTAACCGTGACTTCAAAGAATAGATTGCTCCTAATAAGAGTAAAATTTGAGACCTAGTTAACATGTTGGACAAAGAGATTCAGACAGGTTTTTGTGCCTACATAACGCAAGGCCGATTAGGAAAAAAATTAATAATCAACCAACAATTTGGAAAACAAAAAGGTAGAGCAATTGTGGAGTGACTTAAATCCTAAATTCTTGATGAGGGACAAAGTCCACTTTTACATGGTTATTTTATATTTTATTATTCACATATATATATTTTTTATGGTTGGATATCCAAACTAATTTATGCATATCTTGACTAATCCCAAGATCCACATAAAGCACCACCTCCACGTGGATTGAGATCTATATAAGGCGCTCCCTCCACGTAAATCGGACAAAAGCCACAAACATAAATTCAAATAACAAATTATTCTTAATGAGAATTAAACTTGAGAGCCAAAGGGAGAGTACATCTTAAACTCTTAAGTTACATCCTCTAAATCAACCCCTTGATTTCCAGTTCCACTTGTTTATTATTTTCTTCCACACAATTGTATGGTTGAGAGAGAGAGAGAGAGAGAGAGAGAGAGAGAGAGATTATAGTAGTCTCTTAGCCATCTCAGTCATGTACAATCTATATCTATATTTCAATCTGGATCCTTCTTGAATGAAATGGATAGTGTTCTACGTGTACAAAAAGCCAAGTGGAAAACACTAGAACAATCTCATCTCTATCCTATTTAAACAAACTCCGCCCTAACATTCCCTCCAAAATTGTCAACCACGCTCAGTTTGTAGGACAATCTTCACTGTATTTAAAAAGATTAAATTCTGTTGTGTACAAAACAACAACAAGAATAAAAGAAATAGAGAAAATGAGAGAATTTGTTTGATTACAAAAATCAAACACGAAATAAAAATAAATAAATACAAACCACAGATTTTTTATTTTGTTACAAAACAAAATAAAATTTGGATCCTAAATAACATCAATAAAAACCAGAAATAAAATTAACAACTTACTTGGTTTAATTTATTTGAATAACTTTCTGATCAGCAGTGTTCAACTGTTCTTAAGAAGATTCGTCCTTCATCGGTATTTAGAATTTGGACGTTATCTCAGGATTGAAATGATCTTACCAAAACAACTAAGAGTATACAGATTCGTTTGCTTATACGGAACACACTAATGTTTTTTCACTCTTTCTTTCGGAAATAAAATGCAGTAAGATGAAGAATATAATTTGCAGAGGATGGAGTACGAAATTTTGAATAAAATCCAAATGGGAGGCTAGTCTATTTATAGATGTAAAGGTGGCTTTTGGTTTTGAACTGAACAGGTATGAAACCTGTTAGATTCAAATTTAAACAGATTTGAATCTGTTTATTCAAACAGATAGAAACGGGAAGGGCTCTGTTTGGATGAACAATAAATCCAAAACAGTTTAATTCTGTTTGAAAACGGGAAGGGCTCTGTTTGGATGAGCAATAAATCCAAAACAGTTTAATTCTGTTTGAAAACGGGAAGGGCCCTGTTTGGATGAACAATAAATCCAAACCAGTTTAATTTGAATTCTGGATTTTATTTTAATAAAAAATAAAATTAAATTCAAATGTTTTTGGCCCAAAAAGATTAGAAGCCCAACCCAACCACACACACGCGCACAAGCCCAGCCCGCCCAGACGGACGGCGGCGCGCGTGTGTGGTGATTAGTAAGGTTTGAGTGTTCCATATTAGATCAAGCTTTTAACCAAAATTTCTCTAAAATTTGATGAAAAAAAGAGACTAGGGTTGGAGATGCTCTTAGTATAGTGATCCTGCTCTTATTTGTATCTCAGTTATGTTGCATCAAATCTATGCAGCAATTGCAAATAACACTTCCTTTTATTCTTTTTTAAATAGAAGAGGATACTATTCGTAACTGATTGCATCAAATACTAAATTACACAAATACTAAATTCAAATACATGATTGCAATCACCAAATACTAAATCTAGGCAGCAATTGCATATAACACTTCCTTTTATTTGTTTTATTCTTTTTCAAATACTAAATTCACCAAATACATGATTGCATCAAATTCTCCAAATGGAAGAACTGATATTTGAAATTGTGTATCCAGGAACCTTTCGTAAACATTCCAGAGGATACTATTCGTGAAGCACTAAAAGTTGTTCTTGGTATCATAAGTTCTTAATACTTTACACTTTATTTCTGCCAATGTAGAATGTAACTGATTGTCTTTGCTTATTTTCTCTCTTTGCCTGCAATGCAGATGAAAAGAATCACCCCCTTTTGATCCATTGCAAGTGAGGAAAGGTATACTCTGGTTTTTTGCGACTCAATAATTGATTTTTAAGTATCAAAAAGAACTATAATTTGCAGAAAACAGAATTCAGAAGAAAATCAGAGTTTCACAACTCTGCCATGGAACTTCTGATTCAAAGAAAAAGAAAAAAGTGATTTCCAAATAAAATACATCAGATTACACCCCTTTTTTCCTCTTCTTTTATAAACTTCATAACCTAATATAATTTCCTGACAAACTCTTCTGAAGGATTTAAAACCCAATTTAACTGGGTATAGTTTCCTTCTCTTCGGCTTCACTTCCATTTGTATCTTATAAATTTTGTGTGTTTGAAATAAAGACACTTGCCACCATAGAAATATTCATAAACTTAATTTTCTTGCTGAGGAAACGGGAAGAATGAAATATTGTTATTATTTTTGAGAAAAGGTTGTATGTGGTGCTACGGTTTTGGGGTTTCTATGTGACAACATTAGATGCATACCTTTTGCCTTTAATGTCTAATTTGGTACCTTTATTTTCTTTATTTTCCCTTTTAATTGGATTTCACCAGAATAGATAGAGCCTGATTGCAAATGGTATGCTGGTAGAAATAGTTGGCCAAAAAAGTGTGGTTAAAAAAAAATGTAAAAATAATGGTTAAATCAATTTATGATTGCATTTGGATTCGTGGATCAAATAAAATACATCAGATTACACCCCTTTTTTCCTCTTCTTTTATAAACTTCATAACTTAATATAATTTCCTGACAAACTCTTCTGAAGGATTCAAAACCCAATTTAACTGGGTATATTAAGTTATAGATTTTAATAATGATTTAAAAGCTTCATATGAATGGTTTTGAAATAATACTGCAATAATGGTTATTTGGATTTCTCCCCAACAAGGATTTTAGTAGCACAAGGATCCTTATGGGATATAGATTATAGATTTGTCTATCTTGACCTCAAATCCCCTAATTTCAAATTTCATCCATCCAAATGCAACATAAGGTTTTAAAATTTTTATCATCTAATGCTTATGAAGCCTTCAAAGTTGCCACTTACGTTAGACATTAAGTCTCAAGCAATCAAGCTACAGTTAAGGAGGGTTTCTTATGTTGGTGGCCATTTTAAAGTAATGTTCTGGCCTATAATATCAATAATAACCTTGGAAACCCCCTTCCAGAGGGTTTACAATATTGCCAAATTTGCTTATATGTCATGCAAAAATAGTTTGAAGGGAAATGCAGCTGAGTGGTTTTCTATAACTTTTTTATTCTTTCATTTTCAATGATCTGTTCTGGCTTTAATATGTGGAATTATCACTTCCTTTTTTACGATGGGATGAATCATCTGGGTAAATACTCTCACATGCAAATACTTCAATTGTTGATAATTTAAGTTATAATTTTAGTTTGGCCCTCAAAATTTATATATCTGGGTTTATACACTCTGGTTAGCCTTTATCACTGCGTCGCCTCCATTAGCTTGCTGTGTTTTTTATTTTGAAAAAATTTGAAAGAGGATAACTCCAAAAAAAAAAAAAACCCTTATTTTTCAGCTATCAAACAGAGGGTTTGGAAATCTGCGCAGATAGGGTGCTTCTTTTGGGAATTTAATTGTAGTAGAGCTGAGGTTTAAA